TCGCCCTCTCACCCGTCCTCCTACCATGATGCCATCTGCCATGTTGTGATGTACCCAGAGGTGAGGATCAGAGGCTGAACATATGGGGGGCCATCTGATCTTGAACTTTCAACCTCTAAAACTGGAAGCAGAATAAACCTCTTTTTAAATAAAATACCCAGTGTCAGGAATTCTGTTTTGGCAACAGAAAAAGGACTAAGACATTGGAGAAAGGGCTATTTTGGACCTCAGATGATGGCTTTTTAAAATAGAGATAAGGAACATAGGATGAAAAGGCTGGAGGAACACAATGACTCTAGAGGGTGTCTATAAGCCCTATAGATGGGGACATCACACCAAAGCCTGAAAACAGGGACGGAAGTTAGGAAGAGGTCACCACCCATAAATAAAACAATTTTTCCTCCATGCTCCTATGGGATTGAGTGTTCTCGAAAGTTCCTTGCCCTTTTTTTTTCCCTAAAATCTAAGTTAAAACCTTTAATAAATCTTAAAATACTGCCTCCTAAATGCTCACTTTTCCTAAAATTTGCCATCTACTTTCCCAACCCCGAGTTTCTACACCTAGGATCCTGCTCCCAAAAACCATCTTGCCTGTGGGTTTGGAAAAATGCCTATTTATATCACTTACGTTTCACAAACAAAACAAATACAGACTCATAAAATATTTAAACACAGCCATAAATGTAACAAAAGGAGAAAATGACCTTGCCCTAATTCTACTTCCCTTTTCCAGAGGCTACACAGTAAACAGCTTGATATCACATATCCAGTACATTTTAAATATTATATACATACACACAGACACACTCAAATAAAAATACATAGTTTAGGTATTTTTAATGTAAATAAAAATTTAAACATAAAAATGGTTACATTGCTTATTCTTATTTAAAATATGTATAATATTTTCTAAGATATATTGAAGATATGCACATTTTGCATTTTGATAGATTTTTATAAATTTGCTATAGAAAAAAAGATTTCCAAAGTTTTGTTCCCATTCTTGCTAATGCTCATCTCCATATGTTCTCTTTATACTGAATATTGTTTATGTTTTCATTTTGTTGTGGATCTGTTGCACGGAAAGTGATTTGTAATTAGCATTTGAATTTGAATTTTCATGATTATTTCTGAGGTTGAACATTATACAATCATTGGCCTTTTTCTTCTGAGATTTACTTGCTTATAACTTTTGCCCGTTTTTCTTTTGTTTATACGTTTCTAAGTGATTTGTGGGAATTCTTCACTTATTATGAATAGCAATCTTTGCATGTTACATGTATTTCTTTCTGCCTGCACTTGCCTATCTTTATAGTGTATTATGTTTTAACTACATAAAGTCAAATGTTTCCTTCTTTTCCTTTTTTGGCTTATGATAACCTTCCTTGTCTCCCAAGATTTCATGAAAGGTTTCATAATGCACATTTATATGTATAAAATTCATATATATTTATACTTCAAATATGCCCTACACATATCTGCATACATCAGATATTTTCTCAATGTGTGTGTATGTATGTTTTAATTTAGCTTTTATTTCCTCACTCCCAAAACACTGTGGAATAGACACTGTTATTACCCCCATTTCACAGATAGCAAGATGAAGGGACAAAGATGTTACTTAAGGCTGAGCCATTTGCCTCCTGTGCCCAAGGTCTTAAGCAGTGCCTTATTTTGACTCAACATTACTCCACACAACTCATTCTTTCAACATATTATAAAAGCCACAAAATTTACCACAATGTGATAATGCCATAGAAATAGCTCCTACACATAAACAGGCAATACACAAAAAAACCCTGAAGGTATAAAAAGATGAAATTATAAAATATTAGAGAATCTGAGGATTGTTCTTAAATAATAGTGGAAAAAAGAGGTTAACATTATTTTTAAAAACTCAATTTATTTTCACATCATCTACTAAAGTGAATATGAGAAGGAAGTGAATCCTTAAATGGCAAGAACCTAGATATTAAACTAAGAAGAATCAGAAAAAGGAGATTTTATTGTGGAAAACTGTTAAACTGCTGCATGTTTTGTTTGGTTTGGTTTTTAGTTTTAGTACTGGGGATTAATCCCAGAGGCACTTTACCACTGAGCTGCATCCCCAGCCCTTTTTAAATTTTGAGACAGAGTCTTACTAAAGTGCCTAAGCTGAACTTGTAATTCTCCTACCTCAGCCTTCCAAGTCCTTGAGATTACAGGCATGCACCACTGCACCCAGTGGGTTTTTTTTTTTTAGAACTCATTTTTATTTTTATTTTATTTATTTTTAATTGTGTGTATTGCTGGAGGTTGAACGCAAGACCTTATACTTGCTAGGCAAGCATTCTACCACTGAGCCACATTCACATCCTAAAAACTCATTTAAAAGGTAAACAACAGACTGAGAAATAACGGACAAAAAATATGACAAATACATATTATTTAAAGACAATACAGATTAGCAAAAGTCAAAATCAAACGTTAAAATCCTAAAATAATGATCAAAATAGAATGTGCAACTTGTAAACAAGCATATGAAAAAAAATGTTCAGCCTAACTAAATTGAAAGAAATGCAAAATGACAAAACAGAGTCCCTATTTTACCTATTCCCTCCCCACGGTTCTGTCCACTGGTAGAATGAATGAAATTAAACTGTTACTCTCTCACACAGTGTGGATAGAAGATAACTCAGATACCAACCAATCTTCATTAAAAAGTTCATGCCCAAGGTGGGGATGTAGCTCAGTGGCAGAGTGCCTGCTTAGCCTCAAAACATACACACACACACACACTCACACACACACACGTACAAGGGCAATCTCCAGCGTACACATAAACAAAGTTCACACCCTTTTACCCAGCAATTCCACATCAGCAAATTTACAGATAAAGCCCAAAAAACATGAGAAACATTCTATGGCTAAAAATAGTTATTTATAATAGCAAGAAATAAACAAAGAAAGAAAAATAAAGGAAGGAAGGAAGGCAGACAGACAACCTAATCTTTTTTTACAATATTTTTTTAGTTGTAGATGGATGCAATACCTTTATTTAATTTATTTATTATTATTATTGTTTTTAAATATTTAGTTTTTAGTCTTAGGTAGACACAATATCTTTATTTTATGTGGTTTTGAGGATCGAACCCAGTGCCTCATGCATGCTAGGTGAGCACTCTACCACTGAGCCACAAACCCAGTCCCTAATTTATTTATTATTTTTATGTGGTGCTGAGGATTGAACTCAGTGCCTCACACGTGTCCAGGCAAGCACTCTACCACTCAGCCACAACCCTAGCCCACAACCTAATCTTTAAGAACAAGGAATAAATTATTTATGGGACAATCACTTAATAGAACATTATGCATCATTTAAAATAATTGTGAAACTATATAATAACATTAAAAACCCCTGTGCTAGAAAATCTAGTTGTACAAGTAGAAAGAATTATAGAAATTCTGAGTCACTGTTTTCTCTAACTTCCAAATTTGCTAAAATGCTCTATCAGACCATAAGGTCTGGACTGAGAGAGACCCAAGTTCCTGTCCTGGCTATCTCACTCTCTTGTCCACCCACCTGTCTGACCATGGTAAAGTTACATTACCACTCCATTCCTTTGTTTCCTCACCTAAGAGAAGGTTATAAAGGGGCTACTGTGAGAATCAAGTGAAATAATAATTGTAAAGAATTTGAATGCTGTACCTGTCTTCACAGAGGGTGCTAAAAATGTCATTTTTATCATTTTAAACAACTTAATGTATTTGAAAAAAATAAAACCGAAGTGGGGGGGAAAAAGGATAGTTCACATGCAATGGTTTATTTCATATTTCAGAGTTTCAAAATAAAGTTTATTATGGTTTATTTTGTGGGGGTTCCTCGGTTTAGACCGTACTTGACATGTTGACTCACTTCACAAAAGGAAGATTAAAGGAAGTGAAACATGGCTAATCTAAAAAAGAACCACATAAAAATATGGTGTCTATGGAATGGAGTTGTAAAGGAACAAAAAGGAACCATGTTGATGTCTACTATAGCAGAGGCAACAAATAAATGTCTTAACCTTTGTCTCCACTGAGAAAGAAATGGGGAGGTCATGTTTTCCAAATAAATGTAAGATATGACCTTCCTGTTTTACTGAGAAAGATATTTTATTTCAATGAGAAATTAGAGTCTATGGGAAAGGGAGATCAAAACCAAAGACTAGAAAACATTTCTAGAACATAGAGTAGTTTGGAAGTAATGTCAAATTTATCTTGAGCCTTTTGGGGGGATACTGTATAAACAGAAACAGTATAACAAATAACTTCCTAGAAAAGCCACTATCTTTGTCATATCGTTGCTTTGAAACTGTGCCATCGAGGGCTTCTTGAACATCAAATTTCAGACCTACCACAGCCTATTGCCCAGATGTTGAGCACTCAGACATTATCAGTCCCTCTGCCAGACAAGAAGCCACATTGCATTCTACCTGCGGATCTCCTCCAAGGGGAGACAAACTGTTAAACCTTCATGTGGGCTAAGCACCTTCAAGTAGGTGATTTTCTGCATTAGACTCTTGACAATAAGAATATACAGCAGCAGCTTATGAGACACCCGGCTTATGAAAACAGATCTTCACACTACAAGTAATTAATTAGTATCACAGAGAGAGGACTTGTTTTCCAAGAACTTTATACATTAACTTGAAGTTAGCATGAATCATCCTTACTTTGCAAGATGAAAAAAAAAAAAAGGACAAACAGTGAGAAAGAACTGTTTTTTTCCCCCAAGATATCAGAAGATGAATTTCAAATCCATTTTCAGTACTACCCACTCCCTGCCGAAGCGAGCGTGTAGCATGAACTTATGCAGACCCCGCACCCCAAAAGAAGGCATTGATGCTGCCTTAGTGACATCAGGGTCCGTGGGATACATTAGACATTGTGCCTATAGCAGAAGGATCCCTAAGCCCAGATAGAGCTGTCTTCTAAGATTTTCCATCCCCATCTTAAAAAATAACCAACTATATACTTACTGATAAACCCTTGGCTTCTCGTGCTTCTCAGGAGTTGCTGACCTCAATCAGCAAGTCAGCCGCACTATTCTCGGCTGGGTGCTGGCCTAGGAGGAAAACCACATTCAGAGAGCGCTTGAGCAAGGCTTCACTCAGGAAGCAGGCGGGCTCTGCTCGCCACGCCTCTGCTTCTTCCTTGGCCTCTCCCTCATCAGCCCCACCCCACGCCATACGCACAGTGCAAAATCATATTTCTTTTTTAACTGGGTCCTAAATACTTCATTTGCACCTCTCCAAAATTTAACGATTCAAAGATGTAAGCTGGCTAGCTTCTTGCTGATTGCTCCCCGAGATATCGAACAGGAACAAACAACAAAAGACACCCCCCCAAAAAACCAGTCTGACCTCCAGAAATGGGTTTACTTGAAGCCACAGGGCTCCTCACTTCCCATGCTCCCCTGAGTGCAGCAAATATAGAGTATCCAAGGTGGAGGGGGGATGTCAAAGCAGGGGGTCTGGTGAACTAACAAAAGGGGTACTAGGGACAGGGAACTGAATCTCTGAATCATTAGTGATTTGTTGTGATTTCTTTATTTATCCTAAGTAAATATGTTCATACCTAATTTTGAATTCAGAGAGCTCCCAACTTATATGGGCATCCTCATAAAACCTGGGGTTCACGTCTCCTGCTACTATGGATGGGCTATGGTAAGTCCCAATGACCATGGAATCCACTGAACAGGGAGTGAGGACATGGCACAGAAAACACGTGGAAGAGATTTTTTTTTATGAAGGTCAGTAAACAATGGTCTAGCCACATGCACCAAGAACTCTAATCAGCAGGTCTAGGGTAAGCTTAGTCATTGCCACAGGCTGGCTTTTCATTGCTATTTGGCTAGATAATAAGTGTGATATCAGCCAAACAGCTCTTCCATGGCAGGTGGTAGAAGCTCAGGGAGCCTCGGTGACAGAGAATGCCTCAATTCCACCCGCACTCAGACTCTGGCTTTCTAAAGGACAGACCACATAAAGAGCTGTGGTCAGGCAGCTCAGAGAGGCCTTCCTTTGCCAGGGTATTCAACACTAGTGGCCACGTGGCTCACCTGGCCAATGCTACTGCCTCTCATGGCCATCCTTCTGCCTTGAAGAGGCAAGAAGCATAATGCATTGGATCTGCTCTCACTAAGGAAATCTACCTGCCTGGGAGAGTTTGGGGGCACACAGGGATCTAAGTCACAGAACAAACAGGAGAGGTGGTAGTGGTTGAGACTGTGCCAGTGACAAAAATCCAACTCAAAAAAAAAAAAAAAAATCCAGCCGGTCCCGGTGGCACATGCCTGTAATCCCAACAGCTCCCGAGGCTGAGGCAGGAGGATTGCATATTCAAAGCCAGCCTCAGCAACATCAGCAGTTGCTAAGCAACTCAGTGAGACCCTGTCTCTAAATAAATACAAAAAAGGGCTGGTGATGTGGCTCAGTGGTCGAGTGTCCCTGAGTTCAATCCCCCATACCAAAAAAAAAAAAAAAAAAAAAAAAATCTGACTCAATGCATCTTGAATAAAATGGAGAATTTATTGGCTTGAGTAACTGGAAAGTCTAGGGGTGAATTTAAGTTGGCTTTAATCCAGCTAGAAGCCAAGGTTCAAATGATGTCATCAGAAATTGTTTTAATCACCTCTCAGCCCCTCTTTCCTAAGTCAGCATCATTTGAACACAGATGCTCTAGGGATAGGTAATACTTTCTTGGAATTAGAAGTATTTAGCATGCAAGACCCCACAACAGAGGCTCTCCCCAGAGGAGCCCAGGGGGATACCCAACCCAGTGGCAGGGCAGAAGGACCAGGGTGATTGGCAGCCCTACTAGTTACAAAAAGAGCAGTTTCCTAAAGGAAAAAAAAAAATGCTGGGCAGATAAAAAGGATAAGCACATCAGCTAATAGTGCCTTAGATTATCAAGTCTTTCCTATGATGTTTTACTTCCCCAAGTAGACCATAAATCTATTAATAGGAAGATACACACAAAATATTAATAGTGGTTATATTTCACATTGTAGGTAATTTTTAAGATTCACACTATATTTTCTAAAATGAGTATTGTGTTAAATTATGTAATAGTAAATTACACACATGTTAGAAAAGATTCTACTTATAAGAAAAAAATATATATTATCTATGAATAAATCTGATAAGAATAATAGAGTTGTCCACAAAGAACCCTCCATGATACTTCACTGTATGACAAAAAAAACTAGATAAAAAAATATATACCATATTCTTCCAACCAGATAATCACTCTTCACAAATGATTTTATAAATGTATTATAAGTCTAAGAAAAATCCTAATGGGATTAGAAGTATGAAGAAAAAAAATTATAAAGAGATCCTGAAATTCAGATTAGAAGAACTGATAATTCTTTTCTACAGAAGATTTAGAGTAATTTAGTCTCTACAAAAGAAAATTCTTGAAAAAAATGTAAGATATTAAAATAGAACCAAAAAATATAATCATTACAATGGTATAATTCAGGAATACAGAGATGGCCCAAAGACGGTATCACCAATTCAAAGATAAAGAATGGATTTTCTTTTTTTTTAAAAAAATGGCATTCATAAAATTGACTAATCACTTGTCAAAAAGAAAATAGACTCCTACTCACACTATGTATCCAAATAAGTTCTCATAAAAAAAGATTTAAGTGGAAAAAAACAAGAAGCGTTATAAGAACCAGAAGAAAATACAGGAGATAATACAATACCATCAAGGTAAAACTGATGGAACTACTTGAAAATTCAAAACTTCTGAAAATTAAGACCCTTCCAAAAAAGAAAAACCGAAAAACCCAGACCAGATGTGATGGCACACGCCTGTCATCACAGATACTCAGAAGGCAGAGGCAGAAGGATGGCAAGTTCAAGGCCAGCTGTGGCAACTTAGCAAGACCCTTTCTCAAAATAAAATACAAAGGATGGGGGATGCAGCTCAGTGTGAGAGTCAATGGCAAGATGAGACACATGTCTGCGCATGGCCTTTGGTTCAGTTATCCCATTTGTAGAAATAGATCCTAAGAAAATAATCATGAAAAATACAAAACCATATGAGCGAGTGCGATGAGCTTGTCCTCAATTATTAAAACAACAAAGGAACTAAGTTCTAGTTGGTTGCATTTACTGGTTACATCATGGTATATGGGAATTCTATGACATATGTATATGAATTAAATCTCAATTTAAAAGTGATACTGTAAAATATTTGATGATATAGAATAATGATGACAGATTGTAAATGCAGATTGTAAATACAGATTGTAAATGGTATATACTGTAGGAGCTACATTTACATTTAGGCATAGAAAAAAGGCTGGAAATAATCTGCAAATTAAAAGTTATCTCTGGGTGGTGAGATAATATAAAATTTCAATTTCCTTTCATATATATGTATACACACACACACACACACAGTTAGTTAGTTAGTTGTCAATGAATCTTTATTTATTTATATGTGGTGCTGAGAATCGAACCCCGAGCCTCACACATGCTAGGCAAGCACTCTATCGTTGAGTCATGACCCCAGCCCTTCCTTTCTTTTTTGATACTGGGTATTGAACCCAAGGGTGCTTTATCACTGTGCTACATCCCCAATCCTTTTAAACATTTTTATTTTGAGATAGGGTCTCACTAAATTGGTGAGGGTCCCCCTAAATTGCTGAGGCTGGCCTCAAACTTGCAATCTCCTGCCTTACCCTCCAGAGTCACTGAGATTACAGAAGTATCTCACTGCACCAGTCAGAAATTTCTGTTTTCTTTGTGTTCTTTAAATTTTTCTAAAGTATCAACAATGAACATGTAACAGTTTTAGAAATTTTAAAATTCTACTTAATCATAACAAAATGCATCAGACTCTGTAAAAATGTCATGACTTTTAATGCACAAAGTAAGTTTAATTCAACTGAGGAAGGCTTTCTTAATTGTAGAAATAATTAAACCCTGGATGAGTTTTCCTTTGCAGAGACTTTGAAATCTCCGCTCCTGAATTCCTTAAGAACAGAAGAAGATGACTATCTACGATGACACACTGACATGTCCATTTGCCTGAAGGCTGGGAGGTGTCCGGATGGCCAAGCCTCAGATCAATGTTCTACAGCTGAAGGAAATCTCTGTGTGGGCTAGGTTTATAAGTGCCTCAGTGGGAAACCTGCCAGTTCTTCACAGAACAAGAATTTCCTAAATCCTAGCCAAAAATCAAGGCTTAAAAATGCTGTTTTGCTCTTGGAAAATAAATTTATCAACCCTAAAAATAACTAGGACAAAGTCAAAAGATGAAAGTGACTCTGAATGAGTGTCAAGCAGATGTTGGACTAATTTTTATAAAAACTGTCAGAGTAAGAGTTTTCAGGACTCCAATACAATAGCAGAGGGGTATCTAAGAGAATTTGTAATGATCTAGGAAGGCAGGATACACCCACCAGAGCAGAAAAAGGCAAAAATCTTCATGGGTTTTTAAGTTTCATCTAGTCAGCAACAAAGTCAGTGTTTATTACCAGAAAATGGGTATAAATGGAAATTATTTATCTAATAGGTTAGCAGATCATAATTAATGTAACAATATACTAAATAAAATCTGAAAATTGACATAAGCACAGAATATAGATATATATTTGTGTTAGTTTTCTGTTACTGTGACAAAATACCTGAGATAAAAACTGAGGAAAGGTTTGTTTTGGTTCAGAGTTTTGGAGGTTTCAGTCCATGGTTGATTGGCCCATTGGTTTTGGGACTGTGGCAAGGAAGCACATCATAGTGGGAGCATGTGGTAGAGCAACACTGCTGACCTCATGAACTGTATGCAAAAGAGAGAAAGAAGAACAAACCCTAATATCTGAAAGCTCTCCCACTAGACCCCTTAAGGTTCCACCATCTATCAACAGCACCATCTTGGGAGACAATCCATTCACATGGGCCTTTGGAGAACATTTAAGATCCAAAGCCTAGCAGTATTGCTCTTCTTTGTAATATCTATAAATTCTGACTACAAACACCCATTTCTACGAGGAGGAACTTCACTTGTATATTAACCAAACCATCTCTTTAGATGACTTTAATTTTGTTTTAAGTATACCATTTCACTGTAAGAAATAACACAGAGAGAACTAATTACAGAGGGAA